ACCTACGCCAGGAACTAGATGCTGAGAGAGACCAGTCTGTGGTGCCTGCCAGAAAAACAGAGCTTCGTGTCCCCATGTGTCATCACAGGAAGCAGGGGACCACGCAACCCGTGCCAGAGCAGCTGGGGCCAGTGTGCAGCCTCGTGAGGCAGGAGAAGGACTGTGCTGGGTAGCTCAAGCTGCTGGTCAGGGATGCTGGTTAGGGGCTGAAGGACTCAGCCTCCCAGATGGGCTGCAGGGACAGACTTGAATGCAGCCCACTAATACACTAGTCTCTGCTAAGCCACCCTTGATGGCTTGTGGGTGCCGCCCAGCACCTGTTGTCTCAGATGTTTTTGTTGCTTTCTTTTCTTATTTTTCATTTTTTTTTCAGTCAGGATCTCAGGTATCCCAGGCAGGCCTTGAATGTTCTACATCAGAGAGGATAGTCTTGAACTCCTAATCCTCTTCCCTCAACCTTCCAAGTGCTGGGATGATGAGTATGTGTTATCGTGATGGGTTTATGTGGTACTGGGACCAAATCCTAGGCTTTATGTATGCTAAGCCAGCGCTCTGCTGAACTGCAGCCACAGTGCTTTGTGGCTTTGTTTGATAGGATATTGCTTGTGCCACTGTTGTATGGTTGCATGTGACCCACTGTACTGGATTCAGAGTCTTCCCTAAATGCCATGTGCCAAAGGCTTGCCCCTGGTTAGCTTGGTACTATGGGGCAGTAGTGGCACCTTTAAGAGGAAGACACTTAGGCTATTGGGGGTTATGTTCTCAAAGAGGACTGTGGGATTCCACCCTCTTTGTTCTCTTTAGCCAGTATGCCGCATCACATGCTCCCACCTTGAGGTCAGAGCCAGTGGATCATGGACTGGACCCTCTGAAACCATGCGCCAAAATAAATCTGTTTACAAACTTAGTGCCTCAGGTGTTTGCTACTGTGATAGAAAACCAACCAACACACCACTCTTGAGGTGTGGAAAAGATGACCCTCAAAGTCAAAGGCAAGTGTGGAAACAATGACCTTCAAGGTCAAAGGCAAGCACTCCCTATCTTTATTGTCACTTCCTACTGTCCCTACCCTGCCTCCATTTTCCCAGTTGTCCTCACTTTGGAGGGAGTCATCAGTTCTGGGATTCCTACTTCTGAGAAGACATCAGTGCATTGTGGGGTGTCAGGGGTGTACTGGTTGGGACTTGGATGAGTGAGCGAATTAAGTCCACACTGATGATGCCTGGGATGTACCAGCTTCTGTCAGCCACGGGTTGGGGAGTTGGGACTCCAGATGGTACAACTACAGAAGCCAGGCTTAATCTTAAGGATGCTCAGGTGAGAGGGAGAAGGATGGCTGGTGTCTGTCAAGTGTCCTTGGTCCATCTCTACTTGCTACTTTGGTGAAGTGGGGGTGGGAGGGGAGCCTGACCTTCAGTTTCAGGGGTATACTCACCATCTGTGCTTCCTAGCAACCCCTCTCCACAATGCCCCGTCTGGTCAGGTCGCTGAAGCCTGCAGACCACTTCTGTTATTGTCAGAAATGGCCCCACATCCCAGGGGATTTCCAGGCCAGTTCAGAGACTGGTGTCTCCCAGAAAGTCCTGCCCTAGTTGTGTACATACGGTAGGGAAGAGATCTAGGGAGTGCATAGAGAGAAATTGGTTAGGCAAGATCTGCAAGATGAACGTTCTCACCAGTGATGGAGTTAGAATTCTGCAGGCTCCTTGTCCATCTCAAAGACTGCTTCCTCAGAAGCTACTGGGATCTTCATCCTCAGCCTTTGGGACGTAGGAGAAAAATGGCAGACAGGTACATGGTCAGGGCCTGGCTAGACGAACTGTTTTCTCCTGCTGCCAACCAAATTGACTTATTGTTCAGGTTTTCAGTGTTAATTACAGAGACCCTCAGACTTAATCACCACCAGGTTTCATCAAGAGAGTTGGTCTTAAGGATGCTTGAGGATTGATTACAGCTTAATAGAATTATTAAGAGCTAGGTGGGCCAGCAAGTAATTGGCTGAGTGAGGCTGGCTTGTTATATGTTATAGAAAAGGAGCAGAAGCTAAAAGCTGGAGAAAAAAATGGGTCAGGGTGTGGCAAGGAGAGACTCCAAGGAGAGTGGGAAAGAGGGCTGTGCAGAGTGAAACGAGCCAGTGGGGCTGCGTGGGCCTAAGGAGAAAGCCTTGGGGAAATCATTTACCAGCAACTCTCGGGAGCTACACGGGCAACAAGCTGCTTCATGAGTCCCCCTGCCATGCCTTTCCTCTGCCATGATGAATAGCAGGTTGTCTTTTCTTAAGCTATAAGTCAAACCATGACCTCCGCCCAGAGTTGCTTTTTGTCAGGCAGTTGATCACAGCAAAAGGAAAAGGGAGCAATGTGCGCTCAAACACAGCAGCTCATTCTGTCTACAGCAGCTCGTTCTGTCTACAGCAGCTCCGTTCTGTCTACAGCAGCTCCGTTCTGTCTGCTGATTCTGTCCGATTAGCATCTGGGAACCCTTTCTCCCATTCTCCATGCTTATAGGTCAGGAAGAGTCCTTCTTATCTACCTCAGTCCTTGTGGCCATATGACCTGATCCTCTCCAGCCGTCCTCTTTACTAGGCTAAGAGGTCTTCCCAGCTGATGTAATCATGATGTAATCATGCTGTTGGTTTTAAAGCCTGGGTCCTCATTCTTCTGTTAAGAAGAGGGCTGCTCTGTATTTAAGTCTGGGTTGGTTGTTAGTTGAATGCCTGACATGGTGATGCAGAAGGATACTGTGTAACTTTTGGAGAAGTTGGGGTCGTACTTCTTTTGGTTCTACAGTCTCTATTCTCAGGACAGCTCCTCTCAGCAAGTTCTGTCTTAGAACCCAGCAGTCACATTTTATTGTAAAACTTCCAGGTCATGTGGACAGTGGAGGTGGCGTGAAGGACCACCCCTGGGTATCTGGCTTTCAAGCTCTTGCACTGACGCCACTGACCTGAGAATAGTTCTAGAATTTTGTGGTCCCTGAAGTTCGAGCTACCAGCCATTTGAGTTTCCAGCTACAGATCTGCACACAACGAAGGCGGGAAGAGCTGCCTCTCTTATGTTCTCGTGGTAGAGTATGATCATTCAAAAAACAGTCATGTCAAACTGATCAATTTCAGGGTCATTTGTTGCAACATAGGAATAAATGGACCACTCATGATGCCTTATGCCCACTTAAAACATCGGTGATCTCCAGATAATAGAATAAAGTCCCAACTCCTCTGCCCTCCAGAACTAGCTTGCTTCCTGCCCACTTTAGCAGCTCCAGGCCCAGCTTTACTGCAGGTCTGGATTCCCCCTGCTATCATAGACCCCCATGCGTTAGCACCCACAACGGCTCTGCCTGGGTGTGACAAAGACAGCCAAAGGAAACTGGGGAAATAGAAATCTATTTTCCTCTCTGGTTTGTTTTCCTCAGGGACTAATAATGATAGAGGGACCCAAAAAGAGATCCAGGTCTTCTGAGAAGGGGTATTCATAGAATGGAGGTGAGTTTCTGGATCTTTAGATGCAATGACGTTTACGCACATGGATTTTGAATAGGAATCACCTGCTCACATTATCATGGATGCTTCGTACAGTTAAGGCAAGCATTAAATGTGGTTAAGAGTTTGGGATGCTGCCCAACAGAAGATCCTGTGTTTAAAATAAAACACACCTACAAGTAGTTTCCTTTGGTCGTTAAATCTCGACCTGGGAGAGGCCTTAGTGACTGATGACTCCCCTACAGTTGGCTGCATGGGAAGGTCCCAGTCCCAACATCTTCAACACTTTCAGCATATCCCAGCCACCATATTTGTCACTGGCTCTGTGGCTCTGTGGTACTATCATTGTAATGACTACAATCTTGCAGTTTACCTTGTAGACTTAAAATATTTTTCTATTTAGAAGTGTAGTCTTGCTCAGGCTGGCCTTGAACTTGATAGGAAGAGAGCCTCCTACCTCCACCTCTCAAGGGTGGGATTGCAGCCATGAAGTACCGTGCCCAGCTAGAGGAGGTTATTTTCATCGGTTTACTTATTCAAGGAATAGATGAAGGGTCTTATTGAGAAGACCGAATTAGGCTGTTGGCTTGGACTCTTGCCAAGCCCATTCGCTTATTCCTACTGGTGCATCGTCAACACCAGGGGGCGCTGTGGGCGCACCGCATCTTCACCAGGTAGTTAATTGGCCCAAATGTCCCACAGAACTGGTCAGGGCATGGTTCCCACTACCTGTTCACTCAAGCAGGAGCATTCCTTTCCATTTTTCGTTTCTATGTGTGTGGACTTATACCTGAGACAGTGTGTGTGTGTGTGTGTGTGTGTGTGTATGCGCGCGTGCGTTAAGGGAACGTCTCTTGCAGATATGCATGGGTTTATAAAGCTGTAAGCTACATTTCTCGCTTCCAGTCCTATCAACATCTGTGACTTGAAACACATTGCTTTTTCTCCGTGACTTGAAACCCAGAGTGTTTCTAGGTTTCAGGCTCCACACGTCCCTAGCCCCCACCTCCCTAGCACACTCCAGAGTTAAATGCACACTCCAGAAGATAGACTCAACCTTGAGGCGTTTCCAACTGATCAGCCTAGTGCACGCCCAGCTCTTGAGGACCTTGAGTGAGGTTCTCAATTCACCTGTGCTAGGAGGGTGAGGCGCGTCCATCCCTCCAGGTATCTGGACCACCAGCATCCTTGTGCTCTCATTGCGCTTTCTTCCCTCACTGGGGTCTCCATTGCTAGTGAACCAAGGGCTTTGCAGAGAGGTGTGGAGGGGGCGGGGAAGGGGCCCGGAGGGGAGGGGCGAGGAAGCGCTGTCACAGAGTGTCACGCTGCCCCTCCCGCCCTCCGCCCGGAGTGGGGGCGTGGAGCGCGGGAGGGCTGGCTTCTCCGCCAGCCTCGCAGCACCGGGAGTGCACTGGCCTCCTGAGAAAGGCGCATAGCGCGCAGCCGGGAGCCCGCAGCCGGCCGTCGTCTGCCCTGGTGCCCTGGGCGGCTGCCGGGTTCCTGGAGAGCGTGTCCAGCCATGGAGCCTTTGCACAAAGACGCTGAGACGGCGGCAGCGGCGGCGGCTGTGGCAGCGGCAGATCCCCGGGGGGCATCGTCGTCCAGCGGGGTGGTCGTGCAGGTTCGCGAGAAGAAGGGGCCCCTGCGCGCCGCCATCCCCTACATGCCCTTCCCGGTGGCTGTCATCTGTCTCTTCCTCAACACTTTCGTGCCGGGATTGGGTAAGAAGTGTGTGTGTGGGGAGGGCGACCCTTGTGACTCCTTTAACCCCTGCGGTCCCTGCGACCTGGGCGGCCTGATGGAGAGTAGGTGGGGCAGAGGTAGGCACTGACCGAGACCCGTGGATGTGCCCACCAGCTTCAGGTTGTGCTCCCACGGTTGATCTCTAGCAGGTGGCTGAAGCCTGTGGAGTGGGCATCCTAGATGAGAGGTACCACTCTGGGGGTCTCCAACCCACAAGCAAGATGGCCAGGCAGAGAAGAGCTATAAACTTAACAGAGAATCTTAGAGCTCCAAGCAGGGACCCGACGGTTCACTGGTTCCAGGCTAGGCTACCGTCCAGGACAGTGGAATCTTGGCCCTTCCCCATCAAGCGCGTCTTTCTGTGATCCCATTACTCCGGGAGGAGAGGAGGCCAAGCAGGAAGAACTCATGGCTGTGATGGGGTTGACCAGGCTCCAGGGAGTCTGAGAGCTGGGGGAAGGGAGACACACAGTTTCAGGAGACACTGCATCAGGTCACACTTTCACACAGTGCAGACAGAGCCTGTGGAGGTGACAGTTCTTTAGCCAGAGTCTCTTTTTCCTAATGTCCGAATTTCTTGCCCGAGATTCCCCAGTACACCGACGGAAGGGAATGATTTTATTATTCAGTTTGCATGTATGTGGATTTGGACTGCATGAGAAGTGGGCCGTTAAGAAAGCGAAGACTGCGCCCCATAAGTCTGCATTAGGCTCTGGCTGCCTGGACACACCCCAGTGTCACTGCTGTCCCAAAATAGTGCCAAAGAATGAATAGAGTTAGGGAATGGGAGCTGTCTTGATCGCCTCTCTCCAGCCTCTCATCTCTCCCTTCACGCCCCTCCCCCACTTCCAACTTGATCTCCTGCCACGGGTGGACCCTGCACACCAAGGAGGCGTCTTCCTCGGCAGCGTTCAGGGCTGCAGAAGCAGACATCCCATGCAATCTTCAGAGAGCCTGCCGCTGCCAGCTAGCTAGGTGCCTGCGCATGGTTGCAAAGTTCCCAAAAGCAGAGGTCAGCTAGAAGTGGCCTTTCGTTTTACTCTGGCCTTTCTCACGGCCTCGCTCCTAGCAGGCTCAACAGGGACCTCATCTGTGGTGAATTTGAAGACCACACCCACTCAAACCAGACCTGTTGGTTTTGCCTGGACTCTTAGTCCAGGAGGGATGCTGTGGCTAGGAGTCCCATCTGAGTAGAAAAATCAGAGCCTTTAATTGGGCTTCTCCCCTGAGTGATGCTTCTAGCAGCCTGCCACACAGTTCAAGTCATCAGGCCAACCCTAAGCTACTGCAGGGAGGAAAGCTGGTGTTAATTTGCATGTGTCAGCAATGTCCACCTACGGGAGTAAAGAGAGACCACCTGTCTGTCTCCCTGAGGATACCAAGACCACAAGGCATGGTGTATGCTGTTAGAATTATGTGTTGAAATAACAACACCCTAACATAGGCTTTGAGAAACAAAGAATCAGGTGGGAAGGGGTGCACTGGGGTGTTGCTGGAGAGGGAAGTGGGCTTGTGGGAAACTAGCCCGAGGAGGTAGCCAGGGCCACCTGCTCAGGATGCACCAGTGCATGTCCTCAGTGTGAAGACTGCAGACACCTTTCTACCCTAAGCCTGCTGCCACCGCTCTGCTTGTCTCTAAAACTTTACCCCACAGATCTAGCTTTCCCTCCTTCACAGTTCCATTTGTAGATCAGAATCCTGTGGGATTCTTTACCTATGAAGTCCACACATGAACACACACACACACACACACACACACACACACACACACACACACATGTCTTTCTAAGAAACTTAGAAAAAAACTGCCCGAGAAATACAGAAATGAGAAATGTGGAAAAGTATGGTTTTTAGCCCAGGTATTTTTCATACTTACCTTGGTTGCTGCTGCATACTTTCGTGGGTGTGCAGGCCTTGACACCTACCCATAAGGAATGGGGGTCTCAGGCCCTTGGCAGGTTGGGCTTCTCATCTGTTAGTCTGGAATTGTATACCATCACATTCTGCTTGCCTAGTTTGCCTCATTTCTGGGTGGGGTGGCTGGCACACTGGCACCTCTGCTTCTGAATGCTCCCCGTCTTTCTGCTTCCCTCTGTACCTGCAGTGGTGTCTTCTACAGACCACAGACCTTGAAAGTACTTTTTTCTTGCTACCTCTACTGCCCTGGCTAGGGAGTGGTTTAGATGGCTTCAGCTCCTGGAAGTCCTCCCCTTGGCTCAGGTCTGTATCTGCTCATCCTGGCTTACTCTAAGCTAGAGAGCCATTGAATATTCAGACTGCTTCTTCTACTCTTTGATGAAATGCTGCTTCTTCTAATCCATCTACCCATTCATTGGGCCAAAGCAGGCATCATCATATGTCAGGCACTGAGGATGTGCGGATAAATTAAGCAACCAAGACCAGCGCCTGTGCAGGAGAATTAATATAAACTAAATTTGCTAAGTGTTAGGAGGGAAGCAGGGACAGAGAGTTTTAGCAGTAGTTAATTCTTCCTAGGGTGGGGTGGGGTTGTTAGAGGATACTTAGAGAGGTCGTAGGAAAATTCGTCCCGTGGCTCCCTGCATCCCCCCGCCCCATAGCATCCACTCTTAAGAGACTGCTCCAACCAAAGACCCTTTCTCTCTGCTGGAAATTCCCTTTCTTACAAGTTCTTTCCTTTTTCTTTTTTTCAATTTCTTTTTCTCTCTTCTTTTATTTTTTGCAACAAAGAGGGAAGCTGGCATTGGCTGAATAAAAACTACCCACCACTCCATGTTGCTGATGTCTCTGGACCATCAGTCTGTGAGACTGCCTTGGAGAGGCCACATCCTTTAAACCCTCCAGGCTTCTCTCCATCCATGCGGTGGGTCTTAGTCAGGGTTTTTATTCCTCCACAAAACATCATGACCAAGAAGCAAGTTGGGGAGGAAAGGGTTTCCTTCCACATTGCTGTTCATCACCAAAGAAGTCAGGACTGGAACTCACACAGGGCAGGAACTTGGAGACAGGAGCTGATGCAGAGGCCATAGACAGGTGCTGCTTACAGGATTGTTTCCCCGGTTTGCTCAGCTTGCTTTCTTATAGAACCCAAGACTATCAGCCCAGGGATGGCACCACCCACAATGGGCCCTCCCACCCTTGATCACTAATTGAGGAAATGCCTTACAGCTGGATCTCATGGAGGCATTTCCTTAAGGGAGGCTTCTTTCTCTGTGATAACTCCAGCTTGTGCCAAGCTGACACACAACCAGCCAGTGCATGGTGTTCCTTAGAGAATAAGATCTTGCCGTAAGAATGACGCTCCCTGCTTGGGGCACGCACACACTGGAAGGAGACATGGTTTATAATCACTTTCCCATTGTCCCAGTGAAAACTTATTTGGTTATTGGTGATGGTGATGGGATGGTGAGATAAACTGCTGATAAAGGTGATTGCCAGGTCCCTCATGTTTCAAGAATATATATGTGGAAGTCACATACATAAGCACACCCATATGTTACTAGATACAATGAAAGTTAATTGTGTGTCCTGAAATGGTCTGAAAACTTGTCCGTTGATGACACATAAGTAAGCATCATTATTATTATTATTTTTTTTTTTGGTTTTTTTGAGACAGGGTTTCTCTGTGTAGCCCTGGCTGTCCTAGAACTCACTCTGTAGTCCAGGCTAGCCTCGAACTCTTGAACTCAGAAATCCGCCTGCCTCTGCCTCCCAAGTTAAAGGCGTGTGCCACCACTGCCCGGCCAGTAAGCATCATTATTATATTATCATATTTCAAAGTTATTACCTGTTGTAATTTGGTGAGATATGAGTGCTGATGCCTCATAGAGACAGAGCAGGTGACAGGGAAGCCTTGTGACTATTAACTACGCCATCAGACCTAATGTTGGTCATTAATCCACTGACTGTCACATAAACATCTATCCCTCTCTAACTCACTGCTTATACTCAGACACTACAGAGGTCTTCCTTCCAGCAGGAACGCCTCAGGTAGGCTCAGTTTCCAGTTCTCTCCTTTAGCCCAAGGCTCAAATCGATGACCAATCAGCCCCCATCTTGCAATGTTTTCTATACTGATGATTTTCTGCTACAAGTTTGAGAACTTATATGCATTCATCTAAAGAAACTGCAAATCCCTTGAGAGCAACAGCACCTACTTAACATTTTCTCTTTGAACTCAGACGCTATGAATGAACAGGCCCTGACATTACACTTCCTGAGTAGGCGTTAGAGGACACCTGGTCCAGCACCTTTATATAATACATAAGTGAAATAGGCCTGATGTTTTGAGAAGCAAGGGAGTTTATCTCCTACTCGGATCTCTTAAGGGAGTTCCTTGAAGATGCTTCTTCAGCAGAGTAAGAGAGTATATGGAAGAAGACCTTAGTGGGTCTCGGGAATAATGAACTTTACAGAGACAGGAGGGAGACCCATCTCTTTCTTGGCATTGGGCTAGTGTCAAGCACTGGCAAAAATTTAAGATCACAATTGGTTTTAATGATAAGGAAACTGCCTGCTTGACATCCAAGAAAGAGCTGAAGGATTTGAGGGCACCTGGCTAGGGCATCAGAAGAAGGTGGCCAAGGCAGAGAGAAGGCAAGGGAAGGCAGCAAGCCAAGACTAAAGAAGGATCAATATTACACAAGTTGGAGGAGAGAAACTGCAGGTGGCAGAAGTTTCAGAGCACTGTAAAGTCTTTTTTTTTTCTTTCCTTTATTTTAGTTTTTTTGAGACAGGGTTTCTCTCTGTAGCCCTGGCTGTCCTGGAACTTACTCTGTAGACCAGGCTGGCCTTGAACTCAGAGATACCCCTGCCTCTGCCTTCCTGCGCTGAGTTGCCACTGCCTGGCTTGAGAGCCGTAAAGTCTTTAGGGACAAAGGTCTTGCGGACATCCAAGTGGAGAGCTCTGACGTTGGTGATGTTAGGGCTAAGTAGCCCCAACTTCCTGGGTCTAAACAACAACAAAGCTGTAAGACCCTCCAGGCTGACTTCTGAATCC